ACTGAGCGGGCGTGCCTCAGTTTCCCCCCTGCAATGCTAAGGTCCCTGCCCTCGGCGGGGGGAGGGGGTTTAATATTTGAAAATATCAGCCAAGAGGTGGGCCTGGACACCGGGGCTTCCTGTGCCCAGCTTCCTGGGGGGCTGCTGGGCCAGGCTGGTGTCCCCTGCCCTGGGAGGAGGAATTCGGAGTCTGAGGCAGGGGTGTGGGCAGTGGGAGGGGGCGGGGTGTTGCAATGCTAAGGTCCCTGCCCTCGGCGGGGGGAGGGGGTTTAATATTTGAAAATATCAGCCAAGAGGTGGGCCTGGACACCGGGGCTTCCTGTGCCCAGCTTCCTGGGGGGCTGCTGGGCCAGGCTGGTGTCCCCTGCCCTGGGAGGAGGAATTCGGAGTCTGAGGCAGGGGTGTGGGCAGTGGGAGGGGGCGGGGTGTACAGGGGCTTAGCGCAGGGAGAGCGAGCAGCAGCCCCCAACTGCTGCGCTGTCCTGGGGGCGCATCGCAAAGCGCCAGCGGCACCTTGCTGGGCCCTGGAGTCGCTCGCGCCCAGCTGGCTCGGACAGCTCCCGTCTCGTGCTGGGGGATCGCTGACCTCTCCCCTCCCCGGTTGCTGTAGCTAGCAGAGCTGGAGAAGCGGCTGAGCGAGCTGGAAGCCACCGTGCACTGCGAGCAGGACAGCCAGGTGAGCCAGGCCGGGCCGTGGGGCTGCCCCTCTGCGGGCGGGGGTCGTCCCCAGGGCGGGGCTGCTCGGAGATCCAGGCTCCAGGGTAAGCTCTCTTGCTTTTTCTCTCTAGAATCCCCTGGCCGCTGGGCTGCAGGGAGCCAGCCTCATGGTAAGCAAGGCTGGGGGGGGCTCTCCGGGTTGGTCTGGAGCGGGGGTTGCAAAACAAAACCAAACCATGGGAAAAAAAATCTGTCAAGGGGGGAAAAAAAGGGGGAGACCAAAGTTGTTAAGCAAAAAAAAAGCCCCCCAGAACAGAATTGTCAAGCAAAAACAAAAAATTAAAAGGAGGCTGCCCCTTTAAGACGGCCATCTTGGGCGCCATTTTTAAAACCCCACAGCTCTGACCTGGTAAGGACAGGGAAGCTGGGAGCCGGCGGGGGGGAGGGTTGGCCACGGCTGGTCTGGAAGGTGCAGGGGCCAGGAATGTGCAGCCCACCCAGGAACGCCTGGGTCCCTGCCGGGGGCTTTGCCTGCTGCTGCCAGGGTCCGGAGCATGTATTGTATTGCCCAGCCAGGGAGGGGGGCGA